CTCCTCCAGGCAGGAAATTTACTTAAAGCCAGGTTATTTTGGATAGCTTTTTCTGCTTGACAAATCAAATCGTTTTTGGGTTCTGATATTAAAAGTTGATTGCTTATCTAAAACATTTAGGTCAGACAATAATGAAAAGCATACTAAGGAGAACGTACTCTTCCATAGTACTGTATGCTACTTTGACTTTTGTTCTGTAATTTGTAACTATTCTTGCAGACAACCCAAAAACATTTTTTTAATTTATATTTAAAATTTGCATCTCTCAATATTTGGAATTTCTAAATCTTACAATATTAAAACACAAATATTTTAGCATCCCTCACACAGCGGAAAAGAAACAGAGATTAATGAAGATGGTGTTAACTTTTAACATCCCAATGTTAATGAGACTGATGGGACAGCCAATTAAGTAGAGTGAGACATATGAATATGAAATAATAAAATAAATTTGAATGATCGCATTAACATTTCATCTATCATTGTCCATCTCATTAAGCCACAAATAAACTGACTCATCACTCCTGCATGAAAATATTTGACTTGGATTGATGGCATGGAATATTTTACTCTTGTGTTTCAATAGCAGGGAATGAACTGCACTCAGAAATTATTCCTATGCAATTTCAGTGCAGCCATATTTTTTCTGCAAATAACAATTTTAAAATGTGAAAATTTACAATGATCAGAAACATTCTCTTAGATACTGAATATAATTTTTGCAAAGGAAGTAATACCTGGATGGGCTTTGTGAGATCATTTCCATCTGATGGATTTTTGTTAAAGATTTATTTTATGTTCTTCATCAATTTTCCAAAAAGCACAACAATAAATATATTTGAAAGGAATATTAAATGGTGGTAATAACAGAGAAACTGGATAAAGGCGTTGAGGACATGAAAGTCGGTGCCTGAGTGCTTATTATGGAACTTTGCAGTCCAGCCACAAGGCTGTGGTACAATAAAAGAGAGCTGTAATTCATTAGTGGCAGCATGGTTGGGTTAAGGAGGCTGTCTATCAAAGCAGACACAGAGTAGTTAGGATGCTGGCATGTGGTTGCCTGCTTTAGGTGGGTGGGGAGGAGTGTGTGCATCAATCTCTGTTGTAATTCAATGCTAAAATGGATTAGCCACATTCATGCTAGCATTGAATTAACAAACAGAACAAAAACATTCTACTTTTCTGTTTGTTTTTAAAACAACTTTTCAGAGTGCTGCTCTGCATGACTGGAGTCCAAGAGAATCTCTGACATGAGAACCTCATTTGTGGGTGAACATCAGCAATATTGGGGCCTTGAACTTGGGTATTGGAGATGAAAGGTCTCTCTGACTTTAAGATATAACGCTTTCAATGTCAAAGTTTTCTAGCTCACTCTCCCACTAAAAGGCCATTTTTGAGCTTTTGGTGTTTGCCTCTTTCTCTCGGTAAGTCACACAGCTTTTTGTGCATGCGAAAATTCTGCCGTACAGAGCCCAGAGTCTGCATCGGCAGCAGGTATTGTTCTTTTCCCACAGAGGACACAATTTTAAAATAGTTTGAAATAGCTTGTTTTATAGGTTCACTTCACAGACTTGAAAATATCCCCCATCAAACAAAAATCATAACCAAATGCCACACTAGATGTCATTTTCTATCAAGCTCCTGCCAAATCAAAGCGTAACAGCCTTTTACGTGGCCTTAGAAAGACATTTGGCCATTCTCAAGTGAGGCTCTGTGTTACAAAAACACCCAGCTGGATTCCTGAAAGCCTTCTGTTCAGAATCGTAGAGTGGCAACTGTGAGTCCAAATGTAGCCAAGACTAAATTGCACTGCTACCATCTTAAAACAGCCCCAGTCTTCTAAAATTCATTGTGGTTCATGTTGTACTAGAATATTTGGGGTTGTTTACAACTTGAATAAATATCAAAAGCAGCAGCAAAGTGTAGCACTTGCAGTGCCTCCTGGGAACAGGTTCAGGAGCTTTTTCTCTCAAGAATTTTTCCTGATAATTTATTTCAATGCTAACACAAAGCTAGCCTCACCACCCTACCATCAACTTAGCTGACCAAAACATTAGCAAACTAAAATAACAAATACTTCAAAATTCTCGACAGTGTCTGATACGTAATGTACAAAAACTTCTTTGGTCACTGGAAGATATAATTAAACTGTTTAGGTGTTGTTGGTGTGGCGGTTAGCATAGCTGCACTCCAAGCTAGCCTGAACCGAGTTTGGTTCCCAGCCAGTGCAGGCATTTTTTATGAGAAAAGCTGTTCTTGTTTTCAGGGTTTTACTTTTACCATTGGGTGTGTTATTGGGATTTTATAATGTAATTTATACAAACATAATCTTGGTAATCTCACAACATCATTACAGACAACATTATGGGGACCCCCTTGGGGTTACAGACCCCAGCCAAAACAACAGGCTATATTCGGCTCTCTTTGACTAACATGCTGGACGATCTATGGTTAAAAGATTAATCGGCATGCTTACTCTCAGAGGGGATGAATAAAATAAAGTTTTTGAAAATGTATTCTGTCATTTCCAGTTATTGTTTTAGAAAGGAGAAGAAGGGAAAAAGAGAATTAAATTGAAATTGGATTTGGAATGAAAAAAATAATATTCTGAGATTTTATGTTTAGGCTATTTTGCTCAGCCCTAATGGACAGATAGGCTAGGCCTATTCCCCAGGGGTCTCATTTATCAAACGTTGCGTAGAATCCTTATTAAAACCGTACTTAAGCTCAGCAAAAAAATGTACTTACGCCAAGTAGGTTTGTGATCTATCAAACATGGAGTACGCACAACTGCACGCAATCTCTGCTTCATAAATCGGAGACTAACGAGAATGTTTCTCAGCTGCATTTTCAACACATTCCCACTCCCAGCGCGTCAAAAACAAACGCTTGGTCAGCCACCCTCCACGTCAGACCCCTGACACCAAAAGTGCCCTTTTTTGTCACTTAAGTGCATAAATGGGGTTTTCCCTTTTCTGTCTGCAGATCCCAATGCAGCGTAAAACTGACGCGATGGGATGTCCGCAGCCAGGGACGCGCTGGGAGTGAGAATGTGTTGGCATTTCAGTCACATCTCGCCCTCACCACGCCCACTTACTGCCATAAATAGTCAATGCAAAGTGCCATTTGGATCTCATGCATATACATAAGCCGGCTGTTGCAGCGCTCCGCCAATGACATGGTGACTGAAGATCAAGGCAGGCCAAGGAAGCACAATTTCACAGAAGCAGAAATTGAGGTACCTGTGGGTGAGGTGGAGAATTGAAAGGAAGTGCTTTTACAAAACAAATAAGAGAAAATCCACGGAGTGGCACAGCGTTGCTGAAGCCATCAATGCTGTGAATTCTTCAGAGAGATCTGTGGCGGATATTAAAAAAATGGCCCCATCAGGATTCCATCCCCAGACTCCCAGGTGTAATTCACGTGCGCTAACCAGTCAGCCAAACAGAGATCTCCCCTGTACAAGTAGCCAGGGCGCATGGTCAATTGGGTCACAGTGACAGGACCACACTGTCACAGACGCATGACATTCTGTCTCAATCTGTCCCCCTGCTGATATTCTGCATTCTATATTCTGCGCTTCAGGCTGTGTGTGTGTGCGTGTGTGAGTGTGCGCACATGTGTGTGTATGCGCACGTGTGTGTGTGCGTGTATGTGTGTGGGGGGTCTTGTTCCGTGTGAAAACGAAGCAGTACAAGTGATAATGCTGCAGGATTTCATAATTGTATCCTTCTCAGCAGCAGCACTGCAGGTGCTCTCCATGTCCAAAATGTATGTAAGCCAGGCCCTTAGTCAACTTAAAGTTGCACACATTTTTCTGCTAGGTTTTCTTTCATAAATCCCAGTTTGCGGAAAGTTGCTTACGCAGTTTTCCGACCCCATTTTGTGCGTAAGCAAGTTTGATAAATGAGGCCCCTGATCTTTAAGACTCTAACTTATTTCCTTTTTTTATCCAGAAGATTCATGACTGAAGTACATAGAGGTTTAAATCCATTCACCTTTGAATACAATCAGAAAATATTCAATATTAACCTAAAGGAAGCGGATACATCAAATTTCAAAATAAAAGCACAGAAAAGGAACTGAAGATTTGAGCTGAGTTGAGGGAGGATGTATTTTTGGAACATAGAAATTTTCCAGGATATTGAAATTATCAACAGGTAAAAACTTGAATAGTAGGATAAATAAAAGTGGATGAATTCTTAATCAGATAATATAAATCTTAAGCAAACTGCAGATGGTTGCTTTAGATATATTTAATTTATTTTAAATGCCACATGCTTATTAGACTCATAAATTGATTTATTTCAATGGGTTAATTAAATGTAATATTTACCCTTTTATTAATTACAGTGTTTTAAATGGTATTTTTATTTTATGAAGTCTGCAGTGAGGTTCAACTCCATCCATCCATCCGTTTTCTTCCTCTTATCCAAGGGCGGGTCATAGGATAGCAGGTCCAGGAGGGATGGAGTCATTGCTCTCCACAGCTACCTTTGGATGATCCCAAGACATTCGCCAAAGAGCATTTATAATCCTACCTGCAGTTATGGATCTTATCACGGGTCTCACTGCAGTGGGATTGCCTTGAAAACGACCTGAGGGAAGTGACATCCTAATCAGATGTTTGGAACCACCTCAGCTGACTCTTTTTGATGTGGAGGAGCAGGAACACCACCTACTTCCTAATGTGTCATTTTACATAGCAGTGTAATATGGGCGCAAACTTTTTTCAGTCAAGAATATCAACTTTTCATTAGACAAATAGGATACTTTTCAGAAATCCGTTTATTAATATATTTTATGTTGTTATTTTAAAATTGAAGGTAACAAAAAATTCTAATAAGAAAATTTTATCCTTTTTTATTTTATTTTTATTTTTTAACATGTGAAGCTTCATAAGATAAAACAAGATTGGGCACATGCGTTTCATTTTGGTTTTATTTTGGGATTTCCTTCCGGAAATTGGATCCGCAATTGTGCAGGCTTTGAGTCTGTGTCGCGCGACACCACGCGCGCGCAGCTGGCAGCTGCTGCTGCTTTCATTTGTTCCTCGTGCTGGAGACGACGGAGCAGCCGCCTTCTCCTCTTCCTCCACACACGGGGACCCTATAGCTGTTCCTACGCAAGTTTTGCGCGTAACAAAGTGCTGCTTGATTTTGAAGAGCTCATTTTGCGCCGGTTTTAATGTGTTTCATGTGTTTACGCTCAACTGTGAGGTAGACTTGTTTTGCGTGATTTTCTTTTTTTTCCCAGCAGCGTCGGCGTGCGGTTTTAATCCCGTGGATGCGACCGGGGTCGATGTCTGAGCCCCGCAGGATCAACCTGTCGTAGGGCATCATGGTTTCTGTCATTCTCGGTAACTGGAGGAGGATTATTTCCTCTCAGATGCTGCTGTTGGTGCCCCTTTTCTACCTTTTCTACCCAACTGGAGCGGCTCCTTCTGTGACTACCGAGCAGCTGGACATGGGGGTGGTAAGTTTTGGATGCTTTATTTCTTCTCACACACCGGCTTTGAAACTTTCCCTTCCTCTGAGCAGTTAAAAAAATCCTCCAGCAGCATTTGACTTCCTTCTCCTGTACGTCCAGCACAAGTGCTGTCTTCTTCTAATACTTGCTCTGAATTTTAACAGCGCTCTGCAGTCCAATTCACCAGGCAGAGAGGCGGTATGACATATATACAGCATCATTAAAGATTAAAATATGTTTGGGACCTTTTTCCTTAGCACAGTCAGCTCATTAGAAATAATCTTCATCAACTTGACTTCAGGAAGCCAATCGGAGGAGATTTGGTTTGTCTTTGGGGGATATTCTGAAAGTCTACATAAATCAGCCTGAATACTGTTTATTTGTGAGAATATCCAGATAATTTCCACTCAAATCCAAGGATCCAGCGCTGTAGCATTTTACAAACCTGAATAGGTTCTTATAAAAGGACAGCAGAACAGTTAGAGCTTTGATCCAAAGCTCATAGCTGATTTATTGGTGATGCAGTTTCTAATGTCTGGTATTCAACAGCATTTTGTCCAGAAGCTTTACACAACCATTAGATACTTGGGACTTCATATGCAAGGTTTATTTTTTGCAGAAATCAGTGAAATAATTCCTTCATGGCTTCCAAATGCAGATTATTTTCATAAAATCCTCCCAGCTAGACTAATTTCTCTTCAGTTGCACTTCTCAGGGTAATATTGATTTCTGCCGCTGCCTTCCCCAATATAAGTTTCTCTTTCTTGCTTTCATCTCAAACCTACATGCCTACACATTGGGATCAAATGTTGTGAGTTTCTGTATCTATACTTGATATTTCCTTCAGGTAATCTTTGCTTTTAAGTTTTATTTTCTGCTGTTTTTAGTCACCGCCTCAGATCTTCTGCTGCATCTTGTAAATTTATTTACATCACCAGTTTAATCATGGGTGAATAAGACTCAGCCAATTATAAATTAGGTAGACTGTGTACAGTAAAGGGGGTTATGTAATGGGATGGACGCACACAGTACATCATATAAGCTCAATGTATTCTCACAGTGGAGGATCCTCGCTCTTACAGCTGAGCCAAGACAAGAGACCTGACATCAAGATGCGATCTGAAGCACTTCTGCTCTTAACTGTTTTTTTGGTTTTTCGTGAGTTTGATCACATCTGATATGATTATTTTAATGCAGCTTTGATCACAAGCACCCAAAGCCTTGTGGGTTGTTATTACCCAAACAGCTACTTTGGCCAAGATCTAAAGATGTGTTTCCACTCTTGAGCATAAAGTCCCAATCTCACTGTTGTAGTTGGGAAACAAGCACAGATTCTGGTTTCGAGAGTCATCACCAATTTGAGATTCCTCCACATCTCTGACCTTATACCGATTCCAATTAATATAAAAGATTTCACATTGGGATTTAAAATTTGAAGGTAAACACTTCCACTCAGGAAAGTTTTGTATTTCGTTACTTGTAGAGATGGACCCAAAAATGGTCTTTTTGAGTAGAATTGGCAAATTTTCATCATAATCACTGATCAGCCAATATGTTGCTTATGAAAACCATCGTTCAAGTTCCCATCTGCTAAGAATTTCAAACAGCAATAAAAGAAAAAAATCTGACATTTTTCCTGGTTTTGATCTCACCATCACTAATCTCACAGCAGTAATTGATGCTAGCAATAAGAGATCTTCCCTAATGAAATGTTTGTTTTCAGAATCACAGCTGGCACCTTTTCTGCCACAATTCCCAATATGGCACACCTACATACAACATTTCAGTGTGTTTGATAATATAGTGTAGGGTTTTTATGTTGAAAAACAAGGCAGTTTTTAGTGTTCTTGGCTAATTCTCAACTTCAAAGCGGCTCAATGACACCAAGATTCTGTGAAAATAAGGTCAAACAAACAGGTCAAAATTTGATAACCCAGCCCAAACCACTTTCTCACTAGCTTTGCTTTCTCCTCTCGGATAGCTTCCCACGCACACATGCACACACGTGCATGCACACACACACACACACACACACACACACGGTGCATTAAGCAAAAAATAAATAAAAAATGATGGCTCTGCCAGCCCACAGAGTACAGGCTGCATTTACAGACTACAGCTCCTTCGCCTAAATGAACAAAATAAAGAGTCAAAACACAAAAAGTAAACATCTCCTTAAATAAAATTTGCAAACATATCAAAACATTCATTCTGTTACACTCGGCCACCAAGGCTTTAAACCGGGGAAGGCTGTTGTTGATTTAGTGTCCAGGAGAGAGTAGAGCACATCTCAGCTAGTAAAGGTTAATGTTAGGATTAGCAGTTCCACAGCATGTCAGAACAGGTTCAGACTTGTGTTATTGTTGCGCAATAAAACATCAGCGTTGCATTATTCTACCCATGTAACTAGATCAAAGGGAGGTGGTTGAAGAGTTGCTTTGCTCTTAGCCAATCAGAGGTGAGATGTTGGCATATCATTAATATTAATACTCAAAATCCCGCTGATTCCTGACTAACTTCTACTTTCCGAAACAATTGAGCAAAAACGCACAAGACATTCATTCACACTGGAGTCCATAGCAGGTTTATTAACGAGTGCTAGTATGCCTGCTCTAAAAATAATCAAAGCTCTTTTACAGTGTAGAAAAATTTGCTTATCTTCTGAAATGGCAGCAGGTTACAGGTATCTGTAATAGGAAACACAACAATGAACCTCTGTAGGTTTGTGGAGGAGCTATTTTTACAAACGGAAACCAGCTGAAATGGAATTACAGTATATCTTCCTTTAAAGCCAGATTATACCTCTTTAATCTTTTCATCCCTTTTTACATATTCTTTTTATTGTAACTGCACAAATAATAACTCGCTGAACTGTCTGCATTAATACTTACAAATTCTGATCCATCGAAAACAAATATTTGTGTTCTCATCAGCAGAGTGTCTGAATCACATTTTGGAAATTAAATTTTTGCAGTGTGTGTTTGAAACAGACTAAGGATTATAAGACTTTGCAACTATTAGTATCTTTTAATTGCTGTTTACTTTCAGGGCAACAGCAGTTTTATTTGAGAACTTTTGCACAAGATTCTTTGCAGAATTACACAAACAGTGGCAGACAAACGCAGCAGTGTCTCCAGATGAAAAGCTGTTACCCTAGCAGAGAAAATGATAGTTAAAGTAGAAGCTTTCATGCACTTTTACTGTGTGATGCACTCAGCCCCTGTGCAGCTGTACATCTGAGGGGCTTTAGCCTTGTTGTGAAACTGGATCTGGTGCTTTGCCCTGCTCCATTTGCCTGTAGACACACAGCAACACAAGTCCAGTGAAAATGACCACATTTGTTTTATGGATCTGCAGTATTTCTGCCTCCAGGTGGAGGTCATCCACTGCATTAAAAAGAAATGACCATTTTTTTAAATGTGAACGCACACTACCTGCTTTATTTTGTGAGGAAACCCTTGTGATCTGTTTATAAATGGTGTGTGCAACATCTACTGAAGCTCATGAGGTTTGATTGCAATCAGCTTTTGATCTACCTAAAAAAAGGCTCCAGACAAGTTTTTTTTAATTTAACTGCTACATTTGAAATGGCAGCTTTTTAAAAAAATTATTATTATTATTTTAAGATGCACAGATTCTTTTACAACTCGTGGTAGATTTGCCTTGAACTGTAACAAAGTTCCTGTAATGTATGTACCTAACCCTAACTTGAAAGTAATGGTTAAATATTTACATGGATTATGTTATTGCTAGCATACATTGACACTTATTCAATCAACCAATCAACCAATCAATCAACCAATCAATCAATCAATCAATCAACCAATCAATCAATCAATCAATCAATCAATCAATCAATTTATTAAAGACACAAGAAGGTCCATAACAGATAGAAAAAAAAGTAAAATAGGTAAAATACATGCAAGCTATTTTAGGCCCACATAAAGCTTAAAACGCCAATAATTCAACATGTTAGAATTATTGGCGGTACATTCAGAAATAGGGAAATGAAGTCACATTTTCTTATATTGCTGCATTGCTGCGTTCACAGACTAACCCCTACTTGACACTAGAAGCATCAGCAGAGCAGGACAACAGCGGAACGGTTTACGTACGACTTTCACTGCGTGCTATTACACCGGTAGAATCTCGGCTGCGGAGCGGCGTCTGTGCCGTGCTCCTTGCTGCACTCGCAAGATCACAAAATCCCTCAAGTTTATGCCATCTGCCATTAAACCATAAAGAAGAAAATTGATATCGCTGCTTGATGTCATATATGTTGTTGATGATGTAACAAGTGAATTTCCCCTGTGTGGGGTCTATTCTATTCTATTCTATTCTATTCTATTCTATTCTATTCTATTCTATGTTGTTCCTCATCACTGCCAGGATTAAAGCCATAAAAACACACAGCTGCACTTCTCGAACAATACTGGGAGTAAATAAGCCGTTAGGTCACATTTTGATGTAATCTACATATATGAAATTGCATCGCTGCAAAAGTCTTTTATTTTGAAAATTACTGGAGCTTTTATACTGAAACCGTAAGTGATTTCCTGTCTAGCCCTATGTTAACTGCAGGAATTGTCGTGTCCCGGAAGCGGCTCATGGCAAAAATAGAACCTGACAATATCAGTGGTGCAGCATGTCGCTTCTAGGATGCGCCTGAAAATGTGTGCATCGCAACTGGTTTGAATCACCCCCATAGGCTATAATGGATTCTAGTTTGAAGCAGTGACGTTCTGCTGCCGTCCATATCACTGATGCTTCCAGTGTGAAGTAGGGGTTAGAATTACCTCCAGCTCTAACTGGAGCGCTCCAGTATGCCGTCTCAGCTGATTTAGTTCAAAAAGCAAAACTTACAGTCCGTGTTTACTTTCAGTTTAGATATAGTTGCCGGCCAGAACTCGGCAGTAACTCCCCATGTGATCATCCCCTGGCCAAGGCGCAATCGTCATTTATGAGACAGACAATTACCACAATATAATTACCAAGCGAGGCGAAAA